CGGTTCCCCCACCCAGGGCAGCGTTTCGTGGCCCCATAGGGAGCTCCACCGAAGGCCCCAGTGGGGGTGTTCGCATGCGGTTCCCCCACCCAGGGCAGCGTTTCGTAGCCCCATAGGGAGCTCCACCGAAGGCCCCAGTGGGGGTGTTCGCATGCGGTTCCCCCACCCAGGGCAGCGTTTCGTGGCCCCATAGGGAGCTCCACCGAAGGCCCCAGTGGGGGTGTTCGCATGCGGTTCCCCCACCCAGGGCAGCGTTTCGTGGCCCCATAGGGAGCTCCACCGAAGGCCCCAGTGGGGGTGTTCGCATGCGGTTCCCCCACCCAGGGCAGCGTTTCGTAGCCCCATAGGGAGCTCCACCGAAGGCCCCAGTGGGGGTGTTCGCATGCGGTTCCCCCACCCAGGGCAGCGTTTCGTGCCCCATAGGGAGCTCCACCGAAGGCCCCAGTGGGGGTGTTCGCATGCGGTTCCCCCACCCAGGGCAGCGTTTCGTGGCCCCATAGGGAGCTCCACCGAAGGCCCCAGTGGGGGTGTTCGCATGCGGTTCCCCCACCCAGGGCAGCGTTTCGTGGCCCCATAGGGAGCTCCACCGAAGGCCCCAGTGGGGGTGTTCGCATGCGGTTCCCCCACCCAGGGCAGCGTTCGTGGCCCCATAGGGAGCTCCACCGAAGGCCCCAGTGGGGGTGTTCGCATGCGGTTCCCCCACCCAGGGCAGCGTTTCGTGGCCCCATAGGGAGCTCCACCGGGCCCCAGTGGCTGCTCTCGCATGCGGTTCCCCCACCCAGGGCAGCGCTTCGTGGCCCCATGGGGAGCTCCACCGAAAGCCCCCGTGGCGCAGTTCGCATGCGCTTCCCCCACCCAGGGCAGCGTTTCGTGGCACCATAGGGAGCTCCACCGAAGGCCCCAGTGGCGCAGTTCGCATGCGGTTCCCCCACCCAGGGCAGCGTTTCGTAGCCCCATAGGGAGCTCCACCGAAGGCCCGCCCCGGTGGCGCAGTCCGCATGCGGTTCCCCCATCCAAGGCAGCGCTTCGTGGCCCCATATGGAGCCCCACCGAAAGCGGCACCCACAACGCGTTACCAACAATTGCTTATGGTTGGGTCTTTCGCCAGGATATTTTTTCTTTTTGTTGTTGTTGTTGTTGTTGTTTTGTTTTTGGTTTTGTTTGTTTGTTTTTTGTTCCGAAAGAACTCCCCCGGGCGCTTCGGCCCGTCCCGCCGGGGTCCCGGAAGGCAGCGTAAACCACTTCAGCGTCCACAAATCCTCCAACACGGCTCAATATGGCCTCCAAGACAGCCAAGATGGCCCTCAAGCTCGCCCAAGATGGTCCAAGATGGCCTCCAAGTCCGCCCAAGATGGTCCAAGACGGCCTCCAAGACGGCCCAAGAGAGTCCAAGACGGCCCAAGAGGCCTCCAAGAGGGCCCGAAGAGGCCAAAATCATTGATTCTCCTTAGGTTTTTGAAGGGTTTGGGCATTTTCTCCTTTTCGGCTTTCCGACGACCCAAGACGGCCCAAGAGGCCCCCAAGATCGCCCCAAGACCGCCCAAGAGGCCTCCAAGATTGCCTCAGGTCTGTCCAAAGAGGCCCCCAAGACGGCCCCAAGAGGGCACAACGACGACCCAAGAGGCCTCCAAGACGCCCAAGATGGCCTCTAAGACAGCACTGGAGCACCCCAAGAGGGCCCCAAGTCGGCCCAGGAAGGCCCCCCAAACGGCTTCCGACGGCGTCAGACGGGCCAGGAGCCCACCAAGATGGCCGAAATTGGCTCGAAGCTGGCCCAAGACGGCCCAAGAGGCCTCCAAGAGGGCCCCCAGGAAGGCCAGAAAAAAGACCAACACACATTAAGTTGTCACGGGTTTTGAAGGATTTTGACATTTGCGTCGTTACGACGGCCCGATATCGCCCAAGAGCTCCAAAGATCGCCCAAGAGACCTCCAAGATGGCCCCAGAACGGCTCAAGAGGCACCCAAGACGGCCCCAATGGGCCCCAAAGACGGCCCAGGAGGCTTTTAAGACGCACAAGATGGCCTCCAAGACGGCTCTGGAGCATTCCAAGAGGGCCCCCCAAACGGCTTCCGACGGCGTCGGACGGGCCAGGAGCCCACCAAGACGGCCGAAGATGGCACTAGGATGGACCCCCAAGACGGCCCAAGAGGTATCCAAGAGGGCCTCCAGGAAGGCCCGAAGCGGCCCAAATCACTGATTTCCCATGAGTTTTTGAAGGATTGTGGCATTTGCTTTTTTTCGGCCTTCCGACGGCACGAGACGGCCCGAGTGCCCCCAAATATCGCCCAAGAAGCCCCCAAGACGGCCCCAAGAGGCCCCCAAGACGGCCCAAGAGGCCTCCAAGACGGTCAAGATGGCCTCCAAGACGGCCCAAGAGCCCTCCAAGACGTCCTCCAAGAAGGCCCGAAAGGGTCAAAATGGTCTCCAGGCGGTCAAGATGGCCTTCAAGATGGCCACGCGTTCCCCGAAGGCTTTCCAAACCGATTCGGGGAACACATGGTCCGATAGCTTGGCAGGTCTGGCCTCAACGTTCGGCCACATAGGCGCTTCCACAAAAACAGGGGGCGGCGGTGATTCGCCGTAGGCATCTTCGATACACATACAAGCATAATTCACGCACCGGCTGAGCTGGGATGGTATGAATTCATAATTCGGATGGACGGTGGGAGATCGGGTGCGAGTGAAGGAGACCGACTGCGGCGTTGTCGCGGGGACCTGTGTCAATATTCCTTCTGGATATACACCCCCTGCTCTACCCGACCAAGGACAAACCGGGGGCTATGTGGGCATTGTGCGCGGTTTTTGGGAAATCTCGCGCTTTGAAGTTCCCGACGCTCGTAGAGGACCCGCGAGGCCCCCACGACGGCCCCACGACGGCAGCTGCGACCTTCACGACGCCCACAGAGGCGCCCATGACCAACTCTAAAAGACAATCAGCCAAAGGACCCGATCGGACACTCCGAGCCCTCGGCCCCAAGAAGACCACAGGAGATCCCACCAGAACCCCCACAAGGCTGACACGAGGCCCCCACCGGACGGCATCTACTACACCCCCAAGGGGTCGACGGTGCGGCGCAAGCCCGAGAATCAGACTAGGCCACGCAAGAACACACACGGCCAGTGCAGATTGAGGCCATGCTAGGCCCGACCAGACGGGAAGGATGGTATTTGGGAAGATGAAGTGCGCGCGCGTAGGTGGTTTCCTCCCTGCGCTCCTCTCTTCACGGCTTGGCTTTCTGCCCGCGTCTTGCATGACCCTCCACTCCTCCCCCTTCCTCTTTCTCAGCCCACCCTCCCTCCCCGTCTCGCAGGTACCTATGTCTGTAGTTGAAGTTGTGCCTCGGAAGAGAGAAGAGACGAGGGGATCGATGCTTGCAATATAAAAACGATGCCGTCAATATGGCAACACTCAGATCAACAGGTATGTCTGCTCCGAACCTCAAAGTACGGTAGACCCGGCAACGCGTAGTGCATGTCTTCCGCTAGTTTGTCAAGCGAGGAAGGGGAGAGAGGGGAAGGATGAGTAGGCGGAACGTAACGCATGGAATTCCCAGGGTGCTACGAGGGGCAGGGGGATGGGAAGGGGGAGCAGGAAGCGGATGAGGTATAAGGAGGGAGGAGGAGTACGCGGAGGATGATGGGGGCTCGGGATGAAGAGGGACGAGGGGGCCTGGAGGGGGGGGGGGGTCATGGACGAGGTAGGAGGAGCGGGGCAGGAGGAGTGCGGGTGGGGAGGTGGGAGGAAGGAGACGGCGAGGCCATTCGGAGGGAGAAGGGGGGAGGAGCTGAGGGCAGGGGAGGGGGAGGGGATCGTGGCGGAGGCGGCCCCCATGCTGGCGAGCGGCGGGGCTGCTACCGACGGCCAGCACCACTCGGGTGCTGCCAGAAGGGGGCCCCTGGCCCAGCAGGGTGCCCCCCCCCCCCCCCCACAGGATTTCGAAAGGATCCGCGGCCTCCAGAGAACCCCTCACGCGGCCGAGGAGGAGGAGGAGCAGGAGGAGGAGGAGCAGGAGGAGGAGGAGCAGGAGGAGGAGGAGGAGGAGGAGGAGGAGGAGGAGGAGGAGGGGGAGGGAGGGGAGGGGGGGAGTAAGGGAGGGAGGGAGGAGGAGAGTAAGGATAATGGACGAGGATGAGAGAGGGACGAGAGAGAGAGAGAGGGAGAGAGAAAGAGAGAGAGAGAGGGAGGAATAGGGAAGGGAGGGCCTCATCCTCCCTCTCTTTTCCTCTTCCTCCCTCTTCCTCCATCATCGTTCCCCTTCCTCCTTTCTATCCTCCAACTTCTTCCCCTGTGGAGGGGGGCACGAAACACATTCGAAGACCCATGAACATGTGATACGGCAACCTCCGAGAGCATCAGCAAATGTGTGGGCTCGCCAGAAACCTTGAAGAACTCCGAAACGACGACGAGCGACGGAAGATGACGACAGCGGACGACTGACGGCGAGCGATGGCCGACGACCGGCGGATGATGACGACGAACGAAGTCCGTCGACGAACGACGGACAAGCGACGAGCGACGAATGATGGACGACGAACGTCGACGGCCGAGGACTGGCCACGACCGACGACCGACGACCGACGGTCTACAGACGACGACCGACGGCGACGGACGACGACGAAGACAGAGACATGACGGACGAAGAGCGATGACAACGATGACCGACGACCCGCACGACGACCGACGAACGATGACGAAGACGACCGACGGCGACGACAGCGTCAACAAACGACACCGAACTACGACAGACGACGACGACCGACGCATGACGAATCACGACGCCCAGCGACTGACGACGACGACGACAGATGGGGGACGGACGGCGGATCGGCGGCCGACGACGACGAAGGACGGCGACGTCCGACGACGACGACCGACGACCAACGAGCAACAACCCACGAACGACGAACGACGGACGACGGGCGGCGACTTCCACGCCGACCAGCGCAGGCGCGGGCGGGTGCGGCCGCGGGCACGGGGGGCGGGGGAGGGCGGCGACACGCGCTTGTCGTCGGCGACGCCCTGCGCCCCCCCCCCCCCGCGGCGGTGACCGCGGCGACGTCGACGAGGGCCCCCGACGGCGGCGGCAGCCGCGGCGTCTTCGGTCCCGTCGTTCTCTTTCTCGGGTGGGCTGCTGCTGGCATCGGGGATCTGGCCCGCCCTCCATCCGTGAAGCTCCAGCAATGCTTTTCGACGAATGAGCGCGGCGCTGAGGCGAGAACCACATGCGGCGAAAGACCCGCCTTCTCCATCAGTGAAGCTCCTGCAGCCTCTTGTCAAAGGAATGCGCGCGGCGCTGAAGCGACAGTCACATCGTGAAAAAAAGACCCGCCTTCCATAAGCGACAACCCCATTGTGAAACAAGGGCCCGCCTTCCATCCGTGAAGCTCTAACAGAGTCCTGAAGAAAACGTGCGCGGTGCCGAGGCGAGGGACACACTTGAACGAGATTCGCCCTCCATCCGTAGCTCTTGCAAACTTCAAAGACGAATGTGCGCGGCGCTCGAGTGGGAACCACATGTTGTAAACGACCGCCCTCCATCCACCAAGCTCCGTCAAACTTATGCAACGACTGCACGTGGCCAGGAGGTGAGAGCCCCATGTTGAAAAACACACCCGCCCTCCGTCCGCCAACCTCTCTCAAACCTTTACAGCGAATTTGCGCGGCGCTGGGGCGATAACCACATTCTGAACATAATCCGCCCTCCATCCGTGAGATTTGTGCAATTTTTTGGAACGTAGGTGCACGACCCTGAATCGATAACCACATTCTGAAACAAAAAGGTCCGCCCTCCATCCGTGAAGCTCTTGCAAGCTTGGAAGTCGATTGTGCGTGACGCTAAAGTGAGAACCACATTCTTCTGAAAAGGATCCGCCCTCCATCCGTGAAACTGCTGCGAATATTTGAAACGAATGTGGGCGACGCTACAGCGATAACTACATTCTAAAAAAGGGCTCGCAATCCAGCGTAAAACTGCTGAGAACGTTGAAAGGAATGCGCGCGGCGCTGAAGCGAGAGTCACATTTTCGCCGGAATGGGAGGGATTGATATCACTTCCAGGCGCGGCAATGATATATTGTCGCCGGAAGGGGGGGTAAGCCGATAATTGCTTTTTACGGTTACTGAACTGGGTCAGTGCTACCCCGGCCAGGTCAGTCGGGCTTTGCAGGATCCTGCGAGATCCTACAGGTCCTGCAGGATCCTGCGTACGGACCCACGTCAGTGCAACCCTGGCCCTGCAGGATCCTGCAAACTCCGGCGCTCTGGCTGGCCCCCGTTTGCACAGACCCCCGCCTCGACGCTGCACGGTTTCCCCCAAGGCTGTAGGCGACCCGAGGAGGAGGAGGAGGAGGAGGAGGAGGAGGAGGAGGAGGAGTGGAGGAGGAGGAGGAGGAGGAGGTGGAGGAAGGAGAGGGGGAGGAGGAGATTGGAAAGGAGGGAGGAGGAGGAAGGAGGAGGAGGAGGAGGAGGAGGAGGAAGAGGAGGAGGAGGAGGAGGAGGAGGCGGAAGAGGCGGAGGAGGAGGAGGAGGAGGAGGAGGAGGAGGAGGAGGAGGAGGACGGGTCGCCTAAGGCCTTCGGAAGAACCCTCCACTCGACGCTCCCCATGGAAGCGCTTGTCGCTGCACGGGGCGTAGCTGGGGAAGCTCGGAAGCTTTCTTCGGGGGGGCTGCTTCCGGGGGCTCTCGCCTCCGTGGCCGGGCGGCAGCTCGGGAAGAGGCGAGGGAGCCCAGAGCTGCCACTATTTAAGAGCGCGGCTGGTAGACGTGTCGAAGGAAAAGCGGGCAAAGAGAGAGGACGAGCAAGAGGAGGCACAGCACGAGAAGGGTGGGGTGCATGGGTGGAAAGGGGGTCGGAGGATGAAGGGGAATCGGAGGTGAGAGGCAGGACGAGGATGAGCAGGAGGAAGAGCGGGGGGAGGAGGAGGAGGAGGAGGAGGAGGAGGAGGAGGAGGAGGAGGAGGAGGAGGAGGAGGAGGAGGAGGAGGGGGAGGAAGAAGATGAAGATGAAGACGGAGAGAAGGATATGATTAGGAAGAGGGGGGGAGGGGGCGAGGAGGCGTCGGACGGGGAAGATTGGAACGATTAGGAGGGAGAGGAGGGGAAACGGGATGGGAGGGGCAAGAGGAGGTGGCGGAGCAAGTTCGAGTTACTATTTGGGTGACTCGAGGCGTAGAGTCCTCGTCAACGTCGCCGCAGGCGGAGCACACGCCAGCAGGGCCAGGCGCTCCAAGCGACCTGGGCCTCCCCCCCCACCCCCCCTTCGTTCTGGCGCAGCCAGCGTGGCTCGAGTCAGGATGGCTGCGCACGGGGAGTAGGAGCAGCAGCAGCAGCAGGACAAGGAGGCAAAGGATGGCGAACAAGGAGGAGGAGGAGGAGGAGGAGGAGGAACATGTTTCAGCCCACAGATCCGCAACATCGTACGCTCGCAGATTTGCTGTCTGTGAACACGTACCCGCCACCGTGGCGAAGGCACTGAACGGAGCGTGCTGGTTCCCATCGAGCTCTCAACACTGGGTCTTCCAGATGCTCTTCAAGGGCGCCAGACGCCCGATTTCCGCGCTTCCTCGAGACTGCTTGGACGCTTCCCAAATTCGTCGAGCGACTTTTCCAGAAGACTCCGGACCGCGCATGTGGATATGCGCTTCCAGCCGGCCATCTTGGAAGCCGCCCGCGTCGACTTGGCGGCCCTGGGGAGCGGCCCAGAAGGCTCAAATCGTCTAGAGAACATGCATTGTTTTGGTTTGACATGGATCTCACATTTTCGCCTTGCCGGTTTGACGCGCGTCCAAGACGGCCAAACAGGCTCCCAAGATGGCCCCAAGAAAGATTTGACTCCTTCCCTGCCGACCAGCTCCCAGGACGCCCCAAGAGGCCCCCGGGAGGTCCCAAAGAGGCCGATGATGATGAAGAGGAGGAGGAGGAGGAGGAGGAGGAGGAGGAGGAGGAGGAGGAGGAGGAGGAGGAGGGGGAGGAGAAGAGGACGAGGAGGGGGAGCCTCCCCCAAGAGACCCAGAGAGGCCTGGTGTCTGCGACCCAGGCAATGTGGCGGGATGGGCCGACGGTCACTCGATAGCTACCAACCAGGACCACGTAGCCTAGACGTTGCCACAATGTCTGGTGTAGCTTTGCCCAGGTAACAACGTATCACTTTTTGAACCAGTTCGTAGGCATGCCAGTGATGTTCGCTCCAAGCTTTGCCAACTCCTCGCGTGACACTTTGAAGAGCCCGCCCGCATTAGGCATTGCTGCTTGTCTCTCCGGTGGCCAAAACTCGTGAGCAGTCGTGATGTAGAGCTCGTCCAGGTCTTTTCCTCCGAAAGCACATGCAGTGCACTCGGTCCCAGCCGTGCTGTGTGGCAGATCTACCGTTGCCAGCAGTGCGCCGTTATCCGGATCGTAACGCCGCACTTGGCCAACGCCGAAGCAAGCTACCCACAATTTGCCCTCATTGTCGAGCGCACAACCATCAGGGACCGGTGGGAAATCAGTACATACATCTATTATGCGCCGGCGATTCGTGATCTCCCCGCTTGCCTCATGGAAGTCGAAAGCATCGACACCAAATGTTAGACTGTCCGTGTAATACATGGTCCTTCCATCATGGCTCCATGCCAGCCCGTTGCTAACCGTCACGCCACCAAGCGTCTCGACCAAGCCACTTCCCCACGAGTCTAAGCGATAGAGAGCCGCAGCATGTGGCGCCAAGTCAGCGCCATCCGGGCCAACACGTCCGATCGATCCAATCCAAAACCGCCCCTGAGGGTCACACTTGCCGTCGTTCATGCGAACGAACTCTCCGTTGACATTTGATGGATGCGGCTGCCAAGCCTTTGTGTCCAAGTCAAAAAGCGCTACACCCTCTTTGGTGCCCACCAGAACTTCCGAGTTCGAGCCGGCGACTGGCACGACAGTCGAAATGATGGATGTGCGTGCCGACAGGTCGTGCTCTGCGATGTTCGAGCCCTTCTCTGGCGAGAAGCAGTACACCTTGGCAGCCAAGATGTCCAAATACAGCAGCTCGCCGCGGCCAGCATGCCAGATTGGCCCCTCGCCCAGCTCACACCTGGAATCAACGACAAGCGACGGCACGAGCGAGGGAGGCACGGCGGCAGCCATCCGGGTAAACTCTGGAGGAACGCACACCGGCACGAGGCACAAGAGGGCACAGATCTGCTGGGTTCGATGGCCGCGCTTTCGGGCGATGGCCGGATGCCAGTTGTCTTGAGCCAGCATGCCTGCGGATGCCGAAGAGGAGACCAGGGAGGAGGCGGACGAGGAGGACGACGACGACGAGGATGGGGAGCTCGACCGAAAGGTTCCAAAGAAGAGCGCACGGCCAGAGACCCAACACGGTGGCGATGAGGGCACCAAGCCCTCGGACTGGAGCTTTTCGTGAGGATGGCCGGCGGGCCCCTCTGTCGGGTGCTGCTGCAGAAGTGGTCCTGGCCCAGGGTGTCCCCCGCTCGTCGCGCCACCTCGGAGCCCGTGGGGCCCTCGGGGCCTCGTGAGATGCCCTCTGGAGGCCATCTGGGCCTCCCTTGATGGGCCCGTTTTCCACCACCACTACCATAGGTAGGACCGTCCTCCTCCTCCTCCTCCTCCTCCTCCTCCTCTTCCTCCTCCCTCTCCTTCTCCTCCTCCCTCTCCTTCTCCTACCTATGGTAGTGGTGGTGGGAAATCGGGCCTCCATCCCTGGAACTCTTGGGGACGCCACGAGCCAGGGGCACCTGCAACCTAGCTTCGCGCTTTGCTCCGCGCGGTGCGCGCCTGTCTTCGCACCTTCGCGCCACACCCCTCGGATCATGCTGCTCCCGTCGTGCTTAAGGACCATATCCCAGAAATAATTGTCGAACGACTATCCCCTCCCAGAGCCCGACATGTGAAAACCCTCCAGTTTGGGTCCTCTCTTGGTGCTCGAAAGTACTTCTGGTGATTCAGGCTAAAGTAGGTTGGAACTTCATAACCCTCGGAGAACACCACCTCTGGAGCCCAGGCCGCGAACCTCGAATCGGACTTATCTCCGCGCCCCTGGGGGTTTTGCCCAGGGTCTCGATCTGGTGAGGTCCCAGAGTGAATCCATATTCTCGCGTCAACAACACGACTCCTTATTGCTGAGCTTGGTCGTGCCCCCGCACCCCCCCCCTAAGCATTTCGACGTGTGTTTCTCGGATGACGCCAGGCCCCGAACCTCTCGACCCCCACTCCTCTGGGGCTGGTCTTTCGCGCCGCGTGCCCTTGGCCCAAGGTGCCCCCAGCTTTTCGCTCAATTCTTTTGATTATCCGCAATTATCGCGGCACTTCTGTCTGCGCCGAAATCTTTGAAAAAAGTTGTACGTGCTGCGCAACCTCCACCTGGAAATGGTGGCATCGAGGGCGCAGGGCGAGAAAACTCTCCACTCAGACGAAAATGCCCGGGGTGACAATGCCGGGGAAAAAACAAGGCGATGCAATAATGCCTTTCTTTCGTTGTGGAGGCTTACCAGCACCCCACCACCTGCTCGGAGTCAATTCAGAACTGGCTCAGGCCCACCTTGCCGGTCAACAGCTCCGCGGACAGGATACCGATGGCCGCGAACATCGCGAAGCGACCGTTGTTGAGCTCCTTGTGGCGCATGTCCTCGTCGTAGCCGAAGATGTTGGACAGGCCCAGGGGATCGCCGAAGTTGCCCACCTCCTTCTTCGGGTCCTGCGTCCACACCGCGAGTTCCATGGCGCCAGCGAACAGAAACAGCGCCACGAAGCCGTACGTACCTGGCGCTGTCGTCACCGCGCCCACGCCCGCAGGCACCGACTCGAAGCCGGGGAACTGGATGTACTGCTGCGCCACGAACCCCAACGCCGCCATCATGGCCACGCGCCCGTGCTTGAGCTCCGCGGTGCGCAGGTTGCGGAAGCCCTCCTCGTCGCCCACCTTGCTGAACCCCGCCGGGTCGAAGAAGCCCAGGGGGGCCATGGCGCCCAGCTGCGTCGCCGGGTCGAACGGCGGCGGCGCAGGCGGCGCTTCGGCGGCGCGCCGCGCCGCGCGCGCTGGCCGGCGCGCGGCGATCACGAGTGCGGCCGCCGCGCCCACCGGGAGGGCGGCGCCCAGGCTGCCGCCGCCAGCCGCGCCCTCCTGCGCCGCGGTGGCCCTCAGCGCTGGCGGCGCGGTGGTCGGCGCGAGCTGGCTGACCTGGAGGCCCGCCAAAGCGGGGGAGGCGGCACCGACGAAGGTCAGGGACATCGTGCTAGCTTGCCCAGCAGAGCGGTGTCAAGCACGCAGGGCAGTGCTGCAAGAATACCGCCTCGAGCAAACTGGAGCCAAAATGGCTACTGCAGCTCCTCGCTCCATTTTGGCGCCCCTGGGGCCCGCTGGGCCTCGTGAGGGGTGCTGAGGAGGCCGTGGGGCCAGGGGCACTTCTGGCCATGCCCAGGAGAGCCCAGCACCGAATCGACAAGTCGCACCTGCGACCGACGTGATCCGGATCGGCGCACACCGGCAGCCGCGTCGGGAGAAGCCGCAGCGGCGGCACTCGTCGAGCAAGAAGTCGGAACACATCGGCATCTCAAGTCGAATCGAATCGGAATCGGAAGCCATCCCTCCTCCTCCTCCTCCTCCTCGACGTCTCCCCCGCAAGGCCGACGCGGTGCACCTGCCCGCGGGGGGCGGGCGGGGCGCCGTCCGCCGCGCCCCGCCGGCCCCGGGCGCCTCCTGGAAGCCAGCGAGCGGGGCCGGCGCTCGCGCAAGTACGGTGGGGGCATCGGGCGAGGCACCACTGGAGAAGGAGCCCAGGATCGTCGTCGTCGTCGTCGTCGTCGTCGTCGTCGTCGTCGTCGTCGTCGTCGCCGGGCGGGACCAACGCTCGCGTAAAGAACGGTGGGGGTATCGGGAGAGGCAACACTGCATAAGGAACCCAGGGTCTGGAAGCTGGTGGAGAGCCCATCGTGGACTGGCCATGCTTGGCGGCGCGCAGAGGGGGGTACAGTATGGGGGAGGGGGGAAGGCTTCTTGGAAGGAGGCGCTTCTTAGAAGGCGCCTGCACTACATCTACAGAGAAGGCCCGCGCCTTCGACGAAGCAGGGGTGCTTCTGAGAAGCCTCCCCCCCTCCCCCTACCCCCCCTCTGCGCGCGGCCGGCATGCGCATCACCGCCCTCGTCGGACAGGGAATCCCCCAGGGTCCGCAGCAGCCCGGGTGCATTCCTCAACCGACGCCCCCCACGTGGGCCTCGGGGCTGGCCTCCCATCCCGAGCAGTCGCTGGCGGCCCCGGGGCCCGAAGGTCTGGACCCCCCCAAAAGCTCGGAAAGGGGAAGCGCCCGCCGCCTCGGCTTCCTTGGGCCGCCGGATGTCTGCTGCCTGTTGACCTCCTGCCATCCTGCAGGCCTCCCCGGAGCTTCTCGGATGTCAGCAACGCTTGCCGGGCTCTGCTTCTCCCGTTCTCAGTTCTTCGGTTCCCAACCAGCCGAGACGGCACAACAAGGCAGCCCGCACAGAACAAAAACACGGCGATGGCAGACGGAGCCGAGCAGCAAACGGAGCGAACGAGAATCCCCAAACGGACAAATCTTACCCCCCAGACGGAAAAGGACCGTCGATTTTGAAAGAGGGAAAAAAGCCCTCAGCGCAGCTCAGCGCCATCAACATCATCTGAGCCCTGGAGGCCTCCCTGAAAGACTCCCTGAGGCGCCCAGATGCCTCCAGAGGTCTGAAATGATTTATCCTCGTATTTCCTATACTGTGGTGGCATTGGGTAAGGAAACCTTCGATAAGGAATCCGGGGTCTGGAAGCCAGTGGAAAGCCAATCGTGGATCGGCCACGGATATCACCGCCGCCCTCATCAGATAAGGACCCCTCCAGGATCCGAAGCCTCCTGGGCCCATTCCTTAATGAAGCTCCCACCGTACGGTCATCGTGCTACGGTGAGGAACGCCGAAGAAGGATCGGGGATCTTCTGATCTGGGTCAATTCAGACCCGGGTCAGTCAGGCCTTGCAGAATCCTGCAAGACCCTGCAAGATCCTGCACCCAAGCCCAGGTCAGCGCGAAGGACCCTGCAAGACCCTGCAGGATCCTGCACCCCAGCCCGGGCCAATGCGACCCTGGCCCTGCAGGATCCTGCAAGATCGGGCGCTCTGGCTGACCCCCGTTTGCACTGACCCCCGTCTCAAGGCTCCCGACGTGGCGTGGTGGAGGGGATGCCGGTGCCCCCGCCACCTCCCCCTGTGTTTTTGGGGTGGTGCTGCGCTGCCGCCGTCGTCGTCGTCGTCGTCGTCGTCGTCGTCGTCGTCGTCGTCGTCGTCGTCGTCGTCGTCGTCGTCGTCTCAAGGCTCCCGAAAGGAGCGAGTGGAGCTCTTCCGGCCGCGGCGGACCCTGGCCACGACCAGGCTCCGCGACCCGCACCCCGGGAGCGGCCCGACCACCGGAGCCCCTCAGCGCCCGGAGTGGTCCTTCCCAAGGGGCCCAGGGACACACACACACACACACAAATGAGTACACAGAGATCCGAGGATTCCCCATTTATTTTCCCATCTTTTCTGGGATCTCTGGTCTTCCCCCCCACTTCCCGCATTCTTCCAGATCTCCCGGGGAATCGACGATTCATTGTGTCTGTGTGTTTTTCCCCTCTTGAGTCTTGACTGTGTGTGCGACGGCCGTGGGCCCACTGACGTCTCGATGATCGCTGCCCCGCCCCAGCGACTCGGGCGCCCGGTAAGGGGGGGAAACTAGCAGGAGCGAAAAAAAGCGTGCGCATTTCCAACACCGTCTTGGGCCCACGTCGGCGGCTTGGAGGCCGTTTAGGGCCCCTTTCGGGCCACGCTCCCCCCCCCCGCTCACCCATTCGGAAGAAGTAAGTAAAAACGTGAAGTATGACATCGGATAAAGTAACAAGGCTGGGTTCAGTCCCCCCCAGAGAATAACATAGCACAGCACAAGCATATCTGTTCTTGAAGTAGGAAGGCGCTAGAAGTAGATTTGGATCTGGAAGTTTAACGAAATCCTGCTGTCAACGACCCCCGCGTACGGTCGGCAACTCTGGCATGGCGTGTCGCCGCGGCGGCCCCGGCGACACGCTGTGCCCTTGGAGCTAGCGGCGGCGCGTGGCTTTGAGCTCGGCGGGGCGGGAGGCCGGGAAAGGCTTGGGACGCTGACGCCTGGGGACTGCGGCAAGTTCGTGCTGTGTCGACCCCGGCGTTGGTTCCCGACATCGCGGGGATCGTTCAACCTTGAACTATCGACCACTCCCGAAACGTCAGGATCGTTCAACATCGCCCGACTCTGGGTCGCCGGCGACGTTCAACGTTGAACACCCGCGGCGGGGTCGCCGCGGGTCGACACGACGCGAACCGACCGTATGCGATAAGCGTATCGCGCCGCAGGACCGTGGGCAGCACCCGCGGCGAGAAACGCTAGGCAAAAACTCCCCCTCGCCGTTTATCGAGGGGCACCGTTCAGGGGGGACCGGCCCAAGGAGGGAAACGTCGAGCTGCCATCGGCCATACGTCGCCGACAGATTGGCGGTAGGCCCCCGGTAGCGAATCCGCGTGCTCCTGGGCTGGGCGGACTATCGGGCCCCTATCGGTGACGAGTGGGCGATCGGCGGTCGATTCATGCCCCTCCAGAGCCAATGCCCGTCACTTTGGTGCCCACCCCCATTGCCGAGGGCCGAAGTTGGCCCCACGGACCTATCTACCCCCGCCAGATGGTGTGTGTATATATATATATATATATGTATGATCCAGGGCTCTGGACCCACCCCCACCAATGCTAATGTTAGGTCGGGCGTGTCCCCCTAGAGGCGGATTTTGGACGAAAAATTAAAAAGACCCGACACAATTTTCAACAATAGTCAAAGAATGGTCCCCTCCACTATTTTCTTTATAACTATTTTTGAGTATCCTCCTGTAGAGGGACAGGCCCGACTTTATGCTAGTGGGATCTAGCCCCTCCCCGCTGGATGGTTACGTCTTTGGACCTCGCGAAGTCCTCGCGAGAGCAGAATCGCCCGCCGCTCCCCCCCCCCTGTGGTCGTGGTGCTGTGGGCGTGGCGTGGTGGAGGGGGAGGCGCAGGAGGAGGAGGAGGAGGAGGAGGAGGAGGCGCAGGCGGCGCAGCAGGAGGAGGAGGCGCAGGAGGAGCGTGGCCCTGTGGGCGTGTCCCTGGGGGTGCCCGTGCCCCCGCCCCCCTGTGTGTTTGGGGTGGTGCTGCGGCGCCGTCGTCGTCGTCGTCGTCGTCGTCGTCGTCGTCGTCGTCGTCGTCGTCGTCGTCAACGGACGTGGTGGTCGTGGTCTTTGTCGTGGCCGTGGCCGTGGCCGTGGTAGTCGTCGTGGTGATCTTGGTCGTCGTGGTCATCGTCGTCGTCGTCGTCGCCCCTCCCCCCCATCCCATCTGGGGGTGTGTTGTCCGTGGGACCCGGGTGCCCATCCCACCTGGGGAGACGGGGGGGCTGTGTATACGTCTGTTCGTCCCTTTTCCCGTCAACTCTCATTGGCAAGGTTTCTGAAACGGCTGGTGGTGATGCGCGAAGCGTGAAACATATTTTCATGCTCTGGATATCCCTCATGCATTCTTTGGTATCCTGCGTATATTTTGTCGCAAGATGACCCGACATGCTCCTCGATGGTTGCTGCCGAGCAAAACAAACACGTCCGAGCGATGCCGAGGGCCGTCATGTGCATGACGGCGCCGCCACTGAGTCACATCCGTGGCGGGGGATCGGGACATCTGGTGAGCATCCCCTGCCGCGCGCTTGCCCCTTCCCCCCCTAGGGTGGGGCCAGGACGAGGACATATCCGTTCCAGAGCGTTCCAGAATGCTCCCGGAGCGTTCTAGAACGCTCCGAGAAGGCCGCGGCGCCCAGACATCCTCCAGAGCCGCCGGATCTCAGACATTCTCGATTGATCCTCGCCTGATTTGTTCCTCGTCCTTCCTGGGAAGAGCAACCAGCTGCATAAGCATATACTGTTCCAACTCCGCGCGGACTTCCTAGATCCGTGCTGGACCCCCTCCCCCGCGCGCGGAGCGCGCCTTGGGCGGCGCTGGAGGCGCCGCAAGATGGGCCTGGCGCAGATCCAAGAGATCCGCGCGGACCTCCGACAGTTTATGTTGTTAAAGTGTTTTTTGTTCTTCGACCCATCCCTCCAACTCACTCACGATTCTATCCTCACCCAATTTAGTCCTCGTCCAGGCTTCGTTTTACCCCCCCCCCTCGAGCGCGACCTGACCGACCCCCAGCAAAAACAATCCCCTTCCTTGACGTCACCCTCGCCTTTCGAGCTCCCCTCCGGCCCCATACACACGTCTTGGGGCGAGGCGAGGGGGGCGTCACAGAAGGGGATGGTTTGCTAGGGGTCGGTTAGGCCGCCCCTGGGAGGAGGAGGAGGAGGAGGAGGAGGAGGAGGAGGAGGCCCAGATGAGGCGGAGGGAGGAGGAGGAGGAGGAGGAGCGGAGGAGGAGAGACCCCCCCCCCCCTCCTTCACGATCTTGTGCGGCCTCGCCGAAGCCAGCGAGCAGGCCCTGGCGGCTGGCCGGGCGGGGCCCCGCCGGCGCCGGCAGCGTCGAGGGAGGGAGGCCGCCGTCAGAGGGTGCAGCCCCCAGGGGGGGGGGGGGGGGGGCGACCCTTCCAGTGGCGACCTCTCTCCTCCTCCTCACTACCCTCCTCCTCCTCCCTCCTCCTCCTCCTCCTCCGCCACCTCCTCCTCCTCCGCCTCCTCCTCCTCCTCCCCTCCTCCTCCTCCTCCTCCACCTCCTCCTCACTCATCGTCCTCCTCCTCCTCCTGCTCCTCCTTCCTCCCTCCTCTCCTCCTCCCTCCCCCACCTCACCTCCTCCCTCTCCTCCCTCCTCCACCCCCTCCTCCTCTCCTCCTCCTCCCCCCTCCTCCTCCTCCTCCTCCTCCACGCCGGCCTCCAAGCTCAGATTATTAGGGCGGGTCGGGTGTTTGGCCTGAGACTTCCTCACCGTTTGTGACTCTGAAGCTTAAAAGGTGGAAACAGCTTCGCAGATGGAGGGCGGGTGGTTTTAAACATGTGGCTCTCGCCTTCTTGCTGCGCACATGAAGAAGTTGCAAGCGTTTCACGGATTGAAGGCGGGTGGTTCTCAAAATGTGGCCCTCGCCTTAGCGCCGCGTGCATTCGTTTAAAGACATTTCGAAAGTTTCACGGACTGAAGGCGGGTGGTTTTCAACATGTGGCTCTCGCCTTCTTGCTGCGCACATTAAGAAGTTGCAAGCGTTTCACGGATTGAAGGCGGGTGGTTTTTAAAATGTGGCCCTCGCCTTAGCGCCGCGTGCATTCTTTTTAAGCCATGTCGAAAGTTTCACGGATTGAAGGCGGGTGGTTTTCAACATGTGGCTCTCGTCGTTGCGCCGCGTGCATTCCTTTTAAAAAGGTTGCAAGAGTTTCACGGGTTGAGCGCGGTTCGTTTTCAAACTGTGGCTCTCGCTTTAGCGCCGCGCACAAGCGTTTATATATAAATATGTTTGTGCAGGAGTTTCCCAGATTGAGGGCTGCTCCTTTTCAACATGTGACTCTCGCCTTAGCGCCGCGCACATTCGTTCATACAAAGTGGAAGAGTTTCGCGGATTCCCATGATCGACGTACCAGAAATAGTGTATCGGAAGGGTTCAGGGTTTGGCGGGTGTAGCAGGTATGCTGAGTCGCAGTGTTGAAGTCCCAGAAAGGGCTTTCTGGTACGATTCAGGATCGTCAAGACACAGCAGTCAGGTTGATCCGTTGGCGTTGAAATGCCTAGAACCATGTTTTGGCATGCTTCAGGGTCTTCAAACGATTGTCTTCCAACGAGGCAGTTCCCTCAATGGAAAGAGACCGTTGCAGGGGCCTGTGAAGATGGAGCTTGGAGGGAGGGTTTATTCCAGTATCGTATATGGCTCTTGGGTTTACACTGGTCCTCCTCCTCCTCCTCGTCCTCCTCCTGGGCCTCCTCTTCCTCCTCCTCGACTCCTCCTCCTCCTCCTCCTCCTCCTCCTCCTTCTCCTCCTCCTCCTCCGGTTGCTCCTCCTCTTGCTCCTCCCCCTTCTCCTCCTCCTCCTCCTCCTCCTCCTCCTCCTCCTCCTCCTCCTCCTCCTCCTCCTCCCTCCTCCTCCTCATTCTCCTCCTCCTCCTCTCTCTCTCCTCCTCCTCCTCCTCCTCTCCACCTCCTGCTCCTCTCCCTCCTCCTCCCCATCCCCCTCCTCCCCCTCCCCTCCTCCTCCTCCTCCTCCTCCTCCTCCTCCTCCTCCCCTCCTCCTCCTCCTCCTCCTCCTCCTCCTCCCCACTCCTCCTCCTCCGCCTCCTCCTCCTCCTCCTCCTCCTCCTCCTCCTCCTCCTCCTCCCACTCCTCCTCCTCTCCCCTCCTCCTCTCTCCCGCTCCTCTCCCTCCGCCTCCTGCCCTCCTCCCGAGCCTCCTCCCCCTCCTCCTCCTCCGCCCTCCTCCTTCCTCTCTTCTTCTTCTCCTCCTCTTCTTCTTCTTCTTCTCTTCTTCTTAATATTATTATATTATTCCTCCTCCTCCTCCTCCTCCTCCTCCTCTTCCCCCCTCCTCCTTCTCCTCCTCCTCCTTCTCCTGATCCTCCTGATCCTCCTTCTTTCTCCTCCTCCTCCTCCTCCTCTCTTCTCCTCTCTCCCCCTCTTCCTCCTCCTCCTCCTCCTCCTGCCTCCTCCTCCTCCTCCTCCTCCTCCTCCTCCTCCTCCTCCCCACTCCTCCTCCTCCTCCTCCTCCTCCTCCTCCTCCTCTCCTCCTCCTCCTCCTCCTCCTCCCCACTCCTCCTCTCCCCCTCCCGCTCCTCCTCCTCCTCCTCCTCCTCCTCCTCCTCCCCCCCCGGCCCGAAGGGTCGGGTGGGAGGGCTTTGGGTGGTAAGGTCCAAACACAATCCCCCCTATCGTTCGTGCGCTGGCCACCCTACCACCCGTTACAAACGGTTCCGTCGAAAATGGCCAACCTGTCGAAGTCCAGGATCGAGCACGTTGGAAAGGGGTAGGGGGAGTTATACCCGATTGCTCAGACCAGGGGCATCGATCCCCTGGTCAGGGGGGTCGTTAGGGCTGTTCCCCTTGGCGCTAAGAGACCCCCATTCGTGGGATCACCACCCTGAGGTGCGCCGCCGAGGCGCCCAGACCATCCCACAGGTCAGGGCGGTCGTTAGGGCTGTTCCCCTTGGCCCTAAGAGACCCCCCATCAGGGCCCCCCCCGCCCCGAGGGCCCCTCTCCTGTGCAGAGGTGCGCCGCGGAGGCGCCTGGACCAGAGGCGCAACTCAATAGGTCAGGGGGGTTGTTAGGGCTGTTCCCCCTTGGCCCTAAGAGACCCCCCATCAGGGCCCCCCCGCCCCGGGCCTACGAGGGCCCCTCTCCTGTGCAGAGGTGCGCCGCGGAGGCGCCTGCACCAGAGGCGCTGCGGGGTTGTTAGGGCTGTTCCCCCTTGGCCCTAAGAGACCCCCCATCAGGGCCCCCCCCTCCCCGCGCCCACGAGGGCCCCTGTTCTGTTGAGAAGGTGCGCCTTAGAGGCGCCTGGACCAGGGACGTTGCCCCACAGGTCAGGGAGGGTCGTTAGGGCTGTTCCCCCTTGGCCCGAAGAGACCTCCCGTTCGTAGGATCACCACCCCGAAGTGCGCCGCCGAGGCGCCTGGACCAGGGGCGTTGCTCCACAGGTCAGGGGGGTCGTTCGGGCTGTTCCCCCTTGGCCCCAAGAGGGTTGTATTCTTCACTCCTGCTGCCCCACCGCCCACAACATGCCCGCCTCCTCCCTCCCCATCCCCATTCCTCCCCTCGCCCTGGCATAAATGCGATGCTGCAACGCCGCCTTCTCCCGGTCTCGTGGCCGACAAAGGGAGTGCACTTGACAGTCCCGGTTAGTCCGCCCGTTCGGATGTAAACGTGGCGGCTCGCTGCGCCCCCCCCCTTCCCCCCCGGCCCTAGGGCTGATCAGCGGAGTGCGTTCGGACTACCCCTCTCCCTTCGCGGCGTTCCATCTTGCACCGCCCCCGCGCACGCCTCTCGCCCCTTGGGGCCCCCTTGCTCGCCCGCCCTCGCTACTTCCCAAGACGTATATCGAGATACCCCTGGGCCGAAACGGGCCCAACTTTTTGGGTTAAAACGGGGCCCTCTCAAGGGGGGTCGGCGCTCGGCCCAGAGGGGTCGGCGATCGGCCCGTACAGCGCCTGGCGTAGCCAACGCGCGAAACTGAGAGGCGTCGGGGTCGGTGGCAAGTTTAGGGCGTACACCCCCGCAAAACGTATATCGAGGTATCCCTGGGCCGAAACCGACCTAAAACTTCGTCGCTGTCATGGGCTGGCAAAAACCATGGCACGGCCGCATTGCAGCTTGGAAACTTGTGGCGTTCGAGGCCCCGGAGTCTGCCGGTTCAACGCGCGCGCAATCCAAAAATCCCCCTCGCGGCCCCTCGTGGCCTTCGCCGCGCCAGGGCCGCTCGGCTGAAGCGCCCCTGGGGGGTGCTGGTAGGCAGCGTACACCACTCACACGTTTCGTGGCCCCATAAGGCGCTCCACCGAGGGTCCCAATGGCTGCGCTCTCACGGCAACACCGCACCCATGTTGGCACAGCCCTTACACATTCCGTGGCCCCGTAGGGAGCTCCGCCGAGGGCCCCAATGGCTGCTCTCGCACGGCACCATCGCGCCCATATCGGCACACCCCTCACACGCTTCGTTGCCTCATAGGGAGCTCCACCGAAGGCCCCAGTGGCTGCGCCCGCATGGCACCACTGCGCCCATTTCGGCACGCCGCTCACGCGTTTCGTGGCCCCATAGTGAGCTCCACCGAGGGCCCCTGTGGCTGCACTCGCACGGCGCCACCGCGCCCATGTCGGCACACCACTCACACGTTTCGTGGCACCATAAGGCGCTCCACCGAAGGCAACAGTGGCTGTGTTCGTGTGGCACCACCGCGTCCATTTCGGCACACCCTCACACGCTTCGTGGCCCCATAGGCAGTTCCACCGAATGCCCCAATGGCTGCTCTCGCATGGCGCTGCCGCACACATTGCGGCACTCCATAACGTTCGCATGCGCCCACCGCCCAAATTCCAGTACATCCCTCATACGTTCCGTGGCCCCATAGGGAGCTCCACCGAAGAGGATACTCACAACTGCGTTTCTCACATCTCCATATGGTAGGGTCTTTCGACAGGGTGATTTTTGACGGCTCCCGGGCCGAGCAGCAGCATCCAGACGCTAAGACCAGCGAAAACCTTTGGCTCAAACCTCTGAATCTCCGGGAATCTGTGTCCACCTGGTCTCCTCCCGGGCACAACTTCGGCACGCCCGCGCAGGTCTCCACGTTCTGAATGGATCCCGCCTCTGTTTTGGGCGCCCGAGTTATCCGGGGTAATTCGGGTCCGGGGTAACTCGGGTTTGGGTTCCCGAAAAACAAACCCGAGTTATCCCTGACCCGAGTTACCCCTGATGATTCGGGGCTCTGGACGCCCGAGTTATCCGGGGTAACTCGGGTCCGGGGTAACTCGGGTTTGGATTCCCGAAAAACGAACCCGAGTTATCCCTGACCCGAGTTACCCCTGATAATTCGGGGCTCTGACTGTTCGCCTTTCCCTGCGTCCCTCTCCTCCTTCTGTGCCCCACTTCATTCCCGGCATGTCCCGCCCGTAGCCCGACCGGCGCCTGCACCGGCTTCGACCCGCTTGCGCCCGCTGACTTTGAACCAACACCTTTTCCTCCCGCACTCCCCCCTTCTCCCCTCCCCCGCTCCCCCCCCTCCCCCTTCCCCAATGCCGCTGTGCCTTCCCGCGTCCGCGTCCCTGGTCTTCCTGGCCCCGGTCGCGGGGGGGTTCGCCCCGCGCGAGCAGGTTTTGGATTCGTTCGGCCTCGAAGAGTCGGATTTACCCTGGGCTATGGACCCAGGGGCCGCCTCCCTCCGAGCCTCGCGCACGACGTCGAGTCAGACTCGGAGGCCTCCGACTTTGGCTGACCGTCGGTGATGTTCTGGCTTCAAGCCCGTCCCTAACCCTCACTCCCTCTCCGGCCCTCGTCACCTCTGCCGAATTCAGCCCACGACGCTGGAGGATCGACGAGCTTCCGGGCGCTTGCGGCCCCGGTTTGGGCCTCTGGGGGCCCTTGGAGGCCTCGGGGGACATGTTTGGGACGTCCACGGACATGTGGCGACGTCTAGGGGGTCAGGATCCAGGGCTCCAGGGCGGCACTGAAGCTTCCCATCTCTTTCCCCCCATCCTCCTTCTCCTCCTCCGCCCTCGGGTCCGTCTCCCACCTCCGCCTCCCTCCTCCTCATTCTCATTTCTCCTCCTCCTCCCTCCTGATCCTGCTCCTTCTCTTCTGTACTCACCCCGCCTCCTGCGTGGTAGGCAACACGTCCACCACCACCACCACCACCACCACCACCACCACCACCACCACCACCACCACCACCACCACCACCACCACCACCACCACCACCACCCTTACCACCACCATTACCACCACCACCACCACCACCACCACCACCACCACCACCACCACCACCACCTCCTCCTCCTCCTCCTCCTCCTCCTACTCCTCCTCCTTCTCCCCTCCTCACCTACGAGATATCGAAGCTGGAGCGATATCGATGTCCCATAATCCCTTTTGGCGAAAGCAATTGGTTTAATTCGCTAGGCCTTCCCGAACAACCTTTTCCCGCCCTCCAGGGAGATGTTTACCCCTTGCTATGCCCCATCCCTGGTGGTCTGTACTGGGGAGGTCGCTCATGGTTGGAGAGCTCGTGATTGCCCAAGGTGTTTCCAAAGGGCAAATATTGCCTCCAAGATGGTGGCCTCCATCATACCCCACGAGGCTGCAACAAGGCCCCGAGGGCGTCATAGTGGTCCTGACGTGCCCCCAAGCTTCCCACATAGCTCGCCGATATGCCAAACTAACTGACAAGCAGTATGTATTTTGAGCGTCTGTCGCTTTCTCGCCTTTTTGAGTCCCCTTGGGCATATGGTGCCTGATGATGGCACGTGGTCCTCTAGGGTCCTATTCGGGCCCAGAAGGGCCTCCAATAGCACCCCAAGGGGGCGGTCTTGAGGCTCACCAGCGGGACGGATGTTATGTAGGACTATCGTTTTGTCACTGTCCTTCAGAATGGTCCCAGGTAAGACCTGGAGGACCCCAAAAGGGCTCCAAGGAAAGGGGATGACCCACATCCGATCCGAGACACGAGCCTCCAGAGAACACTCATGTCTTCGGCACGCCGTCCATCGTCATGTAGATCAGTCCGGCCCAAAGAAGACAATTGCATTGCCAACCAACAGAATGGAACACCATTTTTCCCCGCAGGTGACGAGCCAGAGTGAACTGGCCTGGCTAGTCCAACAACTCGCCGCACCTCGATGACGACGACGCTCAGCATCCCTACCAGGGAGCTTCCTCATAATGCCCAGTGCAATGTAAGGTGGCCATGGCGCTCAGAAACGGAGGAACAATTGCAAATACAACGCGAACATATTTGATATTGCCTACTGCAGCCAACATGTTCAAACAATAGGACCAAATCCCAGTATGGCCTCCATGGTGTTCACAATCGCTTCATGTTTTCAAGCGGGATAGATGTTACGGCCGGCTTTGTCATGCGAACAACCCATCTTTTGTACTCTTCATTCCATTTCAGTATTTCCGCGAATTGGTTATTGAAGGCTTTTCCGGCTGCCGTCGTCACACCAACAATCTGAATCTTGTCACCAACCTTAAAGTCGCCCTGGCCATCGCCATCTGTTCTCGCACGCTTTGCAGGGGGCTCGCAAGCGGCATCATGCTTAATCTCACTCAGATCAATGTCATAACCAACTACTGTTGCGATGCGGATGAACTCCTCTTTGGTCACCTCACCGTCCTTGTTCTGATCAAACTTCCGGAAAAGACTATCGACCTGAGCATCATCGTCCGATCCAGCCTTTAGTGCAGCAATCTTCTTCTCTAAGTCCTTTATGCTTTTCTGCTTCACGAGGGTGTACAACCTTTTGGCTTCCTTTTTGTCCATTTTGCCGTCGTTATTCTGATCAACCTCTTTCCATACTTTCTCAGCTTCCTCTTCAGTGAGCTGTGTCCCCAGACGTTCCACGATACTGGCAGCCTCAGAAGAGAATCCCCCACCCATGGCGGAATGCAAAACCGATACGCGCAGACACACGCACACACACACACACACGCGAGCGCTCACGAGCTGGCAAGGCTTGCTTGCTCAATGAACCCTTTGAGATGTCAGACAATAGCTTGACCCAAAACTGCAGCGGAAGATACGACCAGTGCCAACGTGATTGATCATGAAGACGCGCGGTATGGACACAAGAGGCTTTGGACGCCGCCAGTCCTAAGGGTACCCTGAGAGGCTGCCCAGCGAAAACGGCAAAGGACGGGCCGAAGAGGCGAGGACGGGAAATCGCGTGCCCTTTACCACGTGCGTTGACTGCGCTGGGAACACCGCCGAGGGGACGCGGCGTCCCACCTCCCGGTGCAACGCTCTCAACGAACACGAGGAGGTGGAGACGGCCCCCGCCGCCGCCGCCGCCACGCAGGCGTCCGCTCACGCCTGGGCGCATCTGAGAGCATGCTGCGGAAGAGGTGCGGATGGGGAGGGGAGGATCGGTCACACACGCAAGATCGCCCCCGTGCAAGAGGTGGCCCTTGAAGGGCGCGCCTTCCGGCGGGGCGCGGGGGAGCCCACGGCCCGAGCGCCGTTGGCCGCTGCTGCTGCACCGCGCTCGGCGGTCGGAAGACCTCGGCGGGCCCGCACCAAAGGCCACTCCGGCGAAGGACCGCTACGACGCGTGGCCGAAGGGGGGGGAGGGGGGGACGGGGTGCCCGGGAGCCGGGCGGCCGACGAGGCGGCGGAACAGGGAGGGAGGGAGGGAGGGAGGGAGGGAGGGGGAGGACAGGGGAGGGGAGGGGAGGGGGGAAGGGAAGGAAGGGGAGAGGATGAGGAAAGGAGGAGGAGGAGGAGAAGGAGGAGGAGAAGGAGGAGGATGATGCCTCGTGGCACGGGCGGGGAAGAATGAGGAGGATGACCAAAGCAAGCCCAAAGACCCAATACCGATGTTGCGATAAACCTTCTCTCCAAATTCCATCTTCAAAGGCCCCTACACAGACTTGTTTTCACGGAGGGAACTGCCCCGTTGGAAAACAACCCTCTGAAAAATCCAGAACCGTGCCACATCACGATTCCTGGGACTCCAACACCGAGAATCAACGCTACTGTTGCGTCATGACGATCCGGAATCGTGCCAGACCACCATTCCTGAGACTTCAGCACCGCGAGTCAACGTGACTATTGTGCACTCGCAATCCGACATCGTGCCAAAACACTGTTTCTAGGACCTCAGCCATTCGAATCCTTGGGAATATGGTAGAACCCTTAAAACAAATGAGCGCGGCACTAAGGCGAGAACCACATTTTGAAAACAGCCTGCCCTCCATCCGCGAATCAGTTGCAAATTTCAAGCTTAAGAATCATAAGCTGCGAAGAATTCTCACGAGAAGCGCATGGCGTGCCCTACCGACACGTCTCGGGGTGCGACAGGCAGGAATTGTTCATAAGGAAACAAGATTGAAAAGGAGAAGGAGGAGGAGGAAGAGGAGGAGGAGGAGGGGGAGATGGAGGAGGAGGAGGGAGGAGGAGGAGGAGGAGGAGGAGGAGGAGGGGTCGCGAGCCCCTGAAGCGACGCGCCGAGTCGGGGTTAAGGGATGCGAGAGCGACAGGATAAAAGGATAGCAGGCACAATCGAGCACAGAGCGGTGCGCGACCCCAGGGCACTGTAAGCCCCGCCGAGGCCCCACGGCTGTGGCGAGAGGTCCCGAGGGTGAAGAAACGCCCAGGATCGGGGGCGACGCCGAAGCGACGGAGGAGGAGAATGAGGAGGAGGAGGAGGGGGAGGAGGAGGAGAACGAGGAGGAGGAGGAGGAGGAGGAGGAGGAGAAGAACGAGGAGGAGGAGGAGGAGGAGAAAGAACAGCAAGACGAGTAGGAAGAGGGAGACGACAGGGAAGACTAAGGAGGGCGAAGAGCTCGACGCGGCCGCCCTGCGCCGGGTCCTTGACAGCGGCAGCGCGTCGTCGACCCACTCGAGGCCCCCCACCTGTACCGCGCCGGGCCGTGGGGGCTGCCAGAGATCGCGCGGGCTGGGCAGCTAGGGCAGTGCGACGAGTGCTGGTTTGAAAACGGTACATACAAAGAGGGAGACAGAGAGAGAGAGAGAGAGAAAGAGAGAGTGAGACGAAGCCAGGACGAGGGTAAATGCGGGTGAGGACGGATCGAGGATCTTTGAGATCCGGCGGCTCTGGAGGATTATCGGGCGCCGCGGCCTTCTCAGAGCGGTCCAGAACGCTCTGAGAGCGTTCCGGAAGGCCCTTCAACGGATATATCCTCGTCCTAGCCCCGTCCGAGAGAGAGAGAGAGAGACACAGCCGCAAGCGCTTCAAATGCGATGGCCTCCAGGAAGGCCGGATTGGCGAATTGGGCGCCAAGCGTCGGGAAGCGTCATCGCACTCGCGCCAACTACGACTTATATCCCCATCTTCAAACCTGTTCCGTATCTCAGGAGCCTGACTATATCGCTCTATGTGCCCGATCTTGTATAACTGGAACGACGAGGAAGAAGTCGAAGAAGCAACACCATCTTCCCATAGGGTGAAACATCCTGGTCGACACCAAACGGGGTACATGAGATTTCCCTGCGATTGTTTCGACCAACGCTCATGATTACGCCCTTTCTGTTGTGTTGTCTGCCTAGCTTTTATGTTTACATCCTCGCAATCTTCCAACCCGCCACCTGTTGTTCCGTGAAGTCCTGCTCATGGCCAAGGGGTAATGTGCACACACGCAACGAATACGTACGTGTGAACGTGTGGGTACATCCACATACGGATGCACACTATCTGGTCGGACATCGAAGCGGCGCGCATTACCCCTCCCTCTCTCTATAGATATATATACACATATATACAAGTTGAGCTATGCTTGTAGTTGTGTGCACGTACGCATGCATGTACGTTTACCTGCATGAGTATATCTATACATGTATACATACTAATATATATATACATACATATCTATATTTACGTAGGTGCGTTTGCCTGTATACGCATCTACGCACAGAGAGGGAGAGAGGGAGAGACCACGCGAGCGAGAAAGAGAGATAGAGCGAGAGAGCGAGAGAGAGACATGGAGAACGGGAGGGAGAGAGAGAGAGAGGGAGAGATAGAGAGAGAGAGAGAAAGAGAGAGAGACACAGAGCGAGAGAGAGGGAGAGAGATATATCGAGAGAGGAAGGATCTGTATGTATATATATATATATATATATACACGCTGATTGTCTGGAACAGATCGAGAGACACATCCACATCGTGAAACCATACCTGTATGTAAACGAAAGAACACATATATACACATACACATATATATACACACATATATATACATATATGTGTAAACACAGAAAGAGAGCGCGCGAGAGATACAGAGAGAGAGAGAGAGAGCGAGACGGGGGGGAGAGAGAGGGAGAGAAGAACAACCACGAGAGAGGACGAGAGGGAGACGAGCGAGAGCACGAGAGAGCGAGCCAGAGAGAGTGAGAGAGAGAGAGAGAACGGTTCTGCAGTATTTACCCCCCATCCCACAATGATAAGCACACGCAGCGGTGCTGTTTCTCACATCTGCCGTCTGTGCCCGTCACCGTGCACCCCTGGTGCATTCAGGCATGGTTGAACGCCAACTGCTCTCTGGCAGGGTGCTTCTGTAGTCCTCAACGGGGATCTCCACCCTCCTCCTTGCACTTCCCTCCTTGCATCCACCCCAGCCCCCCTCTCGAAGCTCCCTGCGCTGCCAGCGTCTCCCTGGGTTTACACTGGTCCTCCTACTCCTCCTCCTCCTCCTCCTCCGTCTCCTCCTGCTCCTCCTCCTCCTCCTCCTCACCCCTCCTCCTCCTCCGTCTCCTCCTGCTCCCCTCCTCCTCCTCTACCTCCCTCCTCCTCCTCCTCCTGCTCCACCTCCTCCTTCCTCTTCTTCCTCCTCCCTCCTCCTCTCCTCACCTCCTCCTCCTCCTCCTCCTCCTCCTCCTCCTACCTCCTCTCCTCCTCCCCCCCCCCCCCCGCCTCCTCCTCCTCCTCCTCCTCCTCCTCCTCCACCTCCTCCTCCTCCTCCTCCTCCTCTCCTCCTCCCCTCTTCCTCCTCCTCCTCCTCCTCCTCCTCCTCCTCCTCCTCCCTCCTCCTCTCTCCTCCTCCCCTCTCCTCCCCCCATCCTCCTCCTCCTCCTCCTCCTCCTCCTCCTCCCCTCCCTTCCTCCTCATCTTCCTCCTCCTCCTCCTCCTCCTCCTCCTCCTCCTCCTCCTGAGCCTCCTCCTGCTCCCCCTCCTCATCTCCTCTTTCTCCTCCATCCTCCCCCTCAAGACTCTCCAGTCAAGCCACAAATTCCGCCCAGATGGTCAAGCAGCTTCCGAGACGGCCCATGCTGGCCCCAAGACGTCCTACGATGTCCTCCAGCCTGCCCAAGGTGCTCAATAGACGGCCCCAGCATGCTCCAAGAGGCCACTGTCATTGTTTCTGCTTAGGAGTTTGATGGATTTGTACATTCTCACCTTTTCGGGTTCCTCTGAGCTAAAGACGGCGCCCAAGAAACCTCCACGATGGCCCCCAAACGGCCCACGAGAACCTCAAGCGGGCTCTGCGACGGCTCAAGACGGACGGTGCCAATCTGGCCCAATAGCGGTCCAAGACAACCCCACGTCGGCCTAAGCGGTCCCTCAGACGGCCCTCAAGCTCCCCAAGAGGGCCCAAGGGGCCGCACAAGATGATCTGAAAGCGCCCAGGTGGCCCAAGAGCATCCTTAGGCGGCCCAAGGAGCCCTCAGAAGCCTCCGATGCCCTAAGAGGCGCCCAAGAGGCTCCCAAGAGGCACCCACAAAGCCTCTAGGGCCTTCGAGATGCCTGAGGTGTCACACGTAACGGCCTCCCTTGCCCCCTCGAATCGCCGCCACCCAGAATGCTGCGCTGGCACGGTGGCGGAATTGCCAGAGGCAACTGGATGCACACACACACAAACACCTATACACGTGTGTGTGTACACACAGATCTTCTGGAACCATCGCACGCGTTCAAAGTCTCCTGGCAATGGGGCCAAACGCGTAGCGCGTCAGAGGGACCGTGTCCGGATGATCTGGTCCTTGGAGAGGAGGGATGGGGTGGGGGAGGGAGAAGGGAGGAGGAAGCAGGGGAGAGGAGGGAGGGGTAGGGGAGGGAGAGGGAGAGGGGGAGGAGGAGTCAGGAGGAGGGCGAGAAAGAGGATGCGGAGGAGTGAATGGGGAGTGTTGGTGTCCCTTCTGGAATGGAGGTGGCTTCGATTTGAGGCGCGCAAGAACTATCTTGTAGTCCCTACGGGGGCCGCTTGGAGGCTTCTTGGGGGAATCAGGGGGCCTCTTGGGGACCGCCGCGGTGCTCCAGGGGCCACCTTGGCGTCGAGGGCGATCGGAGGCTCGCTTGGGGGGCTTCTTTTGGGCATCTTGGGGCCCTCTTGAAACGCTTTTGGGCCGTCTTGGGCGCCTCTTGGTCCGTCTCGGGGCCATCTTGGGTTCCTCGGGGCCTTCTCGTGGGCCTCTTCGACGGCCTTGGGGCGCTCTGGGGGCCTCCTGGAGCCGCCTGGGACGCCAGTCGTACAGAACACTGCACATGCTAAACGTATATGCTTTCCCCCGGGAGAGGGACGATGTTTGCCGCTCGGGGCCCTCGGGGGGGCTCTCTTGCGGCCGTCGTTGGGCGCCTTGGGGGCCTCTTGGGCCGTCTTGAATAGAGGAAGAAAGAACGGCATAAACATAAACGTTTGGAGGCCCGCGCGGATTTCTCGGATCTCAGCTGGACCACCCTCCCTGGCGCGCGGAGCGCGCCAGGGGCGGCGCCGGAGGCGCTGCCCGGCGCGGATCCAAGAAACTGGGACGTCCCTAACTTCTGAAGCCACCTGGGACGTCCCTAACTTCTGCGGTGGGTCCCGGGGGTCTTCGGGGAGCGCTCCGGGGAGGCTCTGCAGAACGGCGGCTCCGGGGAGGCTTCGGGAGGGGAGGGGGGAGGGGGGGACACTGGATGTGCAGAGGTTGCCCCTGGTGTGCTGCGGTCCGAGCCCCCAGGGGACGGGTTTCTGGTATGTGAGAGATATATACATAGACAGTCAGAGAGAGAGAGAGGGAGAAGAGAGAGGGGCGAGCGCGTGAGAGTGTGAGAGAGAGGGGTGGGGGAGTGAGAGAGTGAGGAAGAGTGAGAGTGAGAGAGAGAGAGAGAGATGTGCAGACACACACACATATATATACATACATACACACACTTATAAACATACATATATTTAAAAATGGTCGACCATATTTTCAGAGAAACATGCAACCAACTCGCGACACACTATATATACATTACCGTGTATATATAAGATACAGAGATACGCACATATGTTTGGGCACGTTCGGCCAATCCCGAGGCCCTCTTGAACGCCGAAGCACCGCCACCTCGCACAGGGAAGGCGGGTGGGAAAGAGAGAGAGAGAGAGAGAGAGACATACATCTCTCTCTATATATAGAGAGAGAGGAAATGAGAAGCTCTGCTGCGGCCTGCAGCGCCTGTTGCAACTCGGACAACTTCCCGAACGCGACCACCATGGCATCCGCGTACTCGTGAAGCGCCCGGGCCACCCGGCTCTGGTTCTGCCGGCGATGGAGGACACGGCGAAGGAGGATGAGGAGGAGAAGAAGGAGGACGAGGAGCAGGAGGAGGAGGACATCACAGAAGACGCAAGCTAGCGAGGATGACGAAGAGGATGCGACACAAAGCGTCTCCCCCAGCACTGCGACTGATGCCGGCCTCAGAGCCACATGCATCCCAGCAAGCGGCTACATCATCATTCCTGAAATGGCCGAAGGCTCCACGAAGGTCCCAAGACGGCCCAAAAGAGCCTTCAGAAGGGCCCGACACCCGATTCAATGTTCTTTTGGTGCGCGGCCCATCCTTTTGGTGTCCCCGGACTCGGAAGAAACCGCCCGGCGTGATGTCCTAGCGACGCCAAGAGGGCTGGGTCGATTATTGGCCTGTCCCAACCATCCGACATCGAGCCTTTCCCACAGGACCCCCGCGGCCCCTTCTCGGGGTTGGACAGAACCCCCTTCAGTAAAACGTGGCTTAGTGAAAACGACCTCGGGCCCAAACCTGGCGGGCGCAAGCCTGGAAAATGACGGCCGCGGCGCCCTCTCGAGAACCGAAAACAAACAGTTCACTAATCGACGTGCCAGGATGTGGGTTCTGTCCACCCGCGACCTTCCTTAGGACAAGGAAGGGTTCGATCAAGGGCCCCAGAGGCAGAACGCAAAACACGATCGTCGCGATTTTTGTTACGGCTCGAAGAGGTCTGGGCCGCTAAGTTACATGCAGAAGTCGCGACCCTCCCTGCCGACAGGCGCGGCCACGGCCCGATGGGGCGACCTCGGCGGCGGCGACGTCCACGACCACAACCACAACAACAACGACCATGACCCCGACCACGACGACCACGACGACCACGACCACGACCACGACCACGACCACGACCACGACCACGACCACAACAACAACGACCACGACCACGACCACGACGACCACGACCACGACCGCGACCACGACCACGAGCGGCGGCGGCGACTTCGACGGCGACTCGGAGGACCTCGCTGACAGGGCCGCGAGGTCGAGAGCACACGTGCAGCCCCCCCCCTCTGCCGAGGAGCGCGGCGCGATCCTCGAGGCTCAGGCGCATCTCCGCCTCCGCCGCAGGGGGCTCCACCTGCCTCTCGGGCTTGCTGACCTCGCGGCTGCGACGACGAGGACGGGGACGAGGACGACGACGAAGACGAGAACGAGGACGAGGACGACGAGGGCGAGGACGACGAAGATGAGAAGGGCGACGACAACGACGACAACGACGACGACGACGACGCGCGAGGGGGGGGCATCGGAGGGGGGGAGGCACAGCGCTCCCACCCTTGTCTGCTCTCTGACCGCTTGCCAGCTCTGCTCTGGCTGGGCAACTTCGGGATATTTCCCTTTGTCGGGATATCCGTTGCCATCCTCGCTCGCGGCTTCGGCGATCGACAGAAAGACTTTGGTGCCATCGCGCCCCTGGGGCCGCGCGGGCCCGCTGAAGCACCCACTCGTTGTTCTTCAGGTGCCACCGCTGGTTGCGCTGCTTCGCGCGTATTCCCCCTGCCCAGGCCCATGCGCCGAGCCGCCGTCCCATTCCATTGAAGTGTCGTTGGGGTGGGCGCAAGGCCAACAATCTCGAACAGGATGGTCTGCTTCCAGTGGAGCGAAAGCGATGCTTCGACCGCGCGGGCGCCGATGGCTATGGTGATTCTTCTGTGCCCGACAATATGTTCAAGGAACTGCGCATTTTCCTGGCCATGGTCTGGCGTGGTACCTGCCGTCAGTTTTTGTCAGCTGAGAAACAGATCGGTGCCTTTCCGCCCGCGGGTAGTTCAGCTGCCGATTCACGCCATCGGGCATCGCGTCCAGAGCGTGGCGCTTGCGTGCGAGACGTTTTCTGGCGCGAAATTCGGGTCTACCAACTGCTCCTTCCATTCGATCGAATAACTGTGCGTCTATATTCTCACCCTCGATCTTGTGCTTGCCCTCCAGCCGCGTGTCCTGAGCAACTGGTGCCGCGGCTTCATCCCGCGAGGGGATCGGGGGCGGCGCCGTTGAGTTGATGTCTGTCCGCCACCGCGCGATTGATGCCCCGCGGCCAGGACGGGTCTGGAGGTGGAGGTGGAGGTTTCTTTCTCTGAAGCCCCATCTCCTTCCGAAATGTGCCGGTTTCTGCGTGTGGCCGTGTATCTGTATATGGTGCAGCTCGTCTGGCTCTTGCCAACTCTGCGCGGTGATCGTTGAATTCCTGCGGTAGCTGATCGCGTCGGATCTCGTGAGCCCCTGCTCGCGGTGCCGCGGTGGTCATGCATCCATCCGTCCATCCATGCGTACATACATGCATACATGCATGCACATATGTATACAATGTGTAAACATATGACATATTGATGTACATACACACATCTATATTTATGTATATATATGTACTTATATGTATGTTTGTGTATGTATATGTACATCTTTATGTTTTTACGATGGCCATGAATATGTGTGCAGATGCATGTGATAGCCCCCCCCTGGGGGCCCCCATTCTCGCAGATGCGAGCCTGAGAGTTTGAGCGATGTTTGGTAACGCTTCAGTCATATCCTTGTTCATATTCAAGAAATGGCACAGGCCGCTCAGCGCCCGGCACGCGAACGTAGATGACGGGCTGCCCTCGCAAGAGTTTCGAGATCATGTCTCCCGTGGCCCGCCGCAAGTCGCGGCCCCGCACCCAGTGGGCCCACTGGGTTTACCTCGCCCGATGGCGCAGCGTGTCGGACCCGGCGGCCGCCGCGTGACTCATCTATTTGCGTCTATCCTTGGCCCCTGGGGCGCGAGCTTCTCAATCGGGCTACGGGGGCGGCTGCTTTGCCGAAGGAGCCCGAGGTCTCGCGGCAAGGAGTGCCACCCTCAATCGTAAATGCTGTATGTTGTTCAACTACGCGCGACTCATATATTCGCGTCTCTACTTGGCCCCTGGGGCGCGAATTCCTTAATCGGGCTGCGGGGGTGGCTGTTCTGTCGAAGGAGCCCGACGTATCGCGACAAGGAACGCCAAACTCGATCGTGAAAAAGTTAGTTTCTTCAATCGCTCGAGGCGCGTGGAAGAAACACAACAAAACAAGAGAAAGAGAGACTGCAAGCGCCCCCCCTAGAAAAAACCCGCGCGCCGCGGGCCTGCCTGGGTCTCGAGCCCCGGGTGTTTCGGGAAATGGCTTCCGAGGCGGAGAAAAAACGCGTCAGAAAACGTGTCGCGGGGGGCGGTTTTCCAACGCGCATCACTGGAACCAATCGGAGGAGCGCCCGGCCCCAGCAAAGAGAGAGAGAGAGAGAGAGAGAGAGAGAGAGAGAGAGAGAGTGAGAGAGAGAGAGAGAGAGAGAGAGAGGATACCAATCTAATATTAATATAGAGAGAAGAGAGAGAGAGGAGAAGAAGAGAGAAGAGAAAGAGAGAGAAGAGAGAGAGAAAAAAGAGAGAGAGAGAAAGAGAGAGAGAGAGAGAGAGAGAGAGAGAGAAAGAAGGAGAGAGATAGAGAAGAGAAGAGAAAGAGAGATAGAAGAACTGAGAGAGGGAGAGAGTGAGATCGAGAGAGCAGGAGAGACAGAGAGAGAGGTAAAGAAGAAACAAAGAGAGAAGAGGAGGGACAAGAGAAGAGAGAGAGAGAGTGAGAGAGAGAGAGAAAGAGAGAGACTGAGAGAGAGAGAGAGACTGAGAGAGATCGAGGGAGAGAGAGAGAGAGAGAGAGAGAGAGAGAGAGAGAGAGAGCGGACAAGTAGGCGGACCAGGGTCCGTCCGCGAGGCGCACTGCGGTGCGACAACTCGCCAAACACTATTTGCGGCGGTGCAGCCTTGAGAAACGAGGGCGGGCAACAAACCCCCTCCCCCGGCGCAATGCGACAGACGCTACAGACGGCGGACAGACGGTGAAGATCTCACGTGTCAGACCGCGTGATGAAGAAGGCCCCAACAAGAAAGGCGACGTGCTGACACGTGCTAGGCGGCTTGGCAGACCGCCAGTTGGGCGCTTGGCCGCAACGCGGCGCGCAGGGACGGGGCACCCCCCGCCCCCGCGCCCTGACACCGTGGACGCGGGGCCACGCGTACACACGGGCAGGCAGAATGGCGGAGATTAGCGCGGGGCTCCAAGCGGAGCGCCGCGGAGCGATGACAGCGTAGCATGGGGGGTGAGTGGCGGCGCAGCACCATCGGGCGAGGGTGTAAGCAGCTCGGCGAAGGCACGCCCGGCGCGGTGGAGGCGCTGGAGCAGAGGGCCTTGACGGGCTTGAGCAGCGGCAAGGTCGGCGGCGAGAGCAACGCACCTCTGCTGAAGAGCGGCCATAGACTGGGACAGCTCGGTTTCGCGGTCGGTGAGGGGCGGCTGCTCTGTGCCTGCGGCCGCGGGCCTCGTGGCAGGGACGAGGTCATCGATGCGCCCGGCCAGGTGGTGGACCAGCGCGGAGCGGCGATCCGTGCGCTGGCGGCCGTCGCCCTTGAGAGGCGACTGGAGGGTAACACGCGGTCCCAGGGCTGAAGCCGCTAGGGCCACGCCCCGTGAGGACGGAGGAGCCGCAGCCTCGCACCCAGCAGCAGTAAAAGCGTGGACGGGGTGCGACGGCCTGACTGGCTCAGTGCCCTGCGGGGGGGCTGGAGCCGCCCCCGCGGGCTGGCGCTGGGGGGGGGACGGGGTGGGTGGCACGGGGGGACCAATCATGATGCCGTGCGAGGGCTCGGAGGTCGGCCGCGTGGTCGGGTGGCGTCTCGATGGAGCGGCATCGTCGGCAGCGTGGGGTGTCGGCGGGGCGTCGTCTATGCTGCCACTCAATCCGAGGGGATCATAAAGGTTCTCGTCGGCGTCTTGACGGTGAGCGACGTCATCATGTGGGTGCGATGTCGCTCTCGGTGGCGGAGTCGAGGTGGGCGTCGAGAGGCTGCCCGACGGGGCAGGGTTGGCGCTGGCTGGCCCGTCGTCCAGGAAGTCTAATCCCCCGCCGAAGCCGAACGGGTCGTCCTCCTGTTCGTCGTGAATCGCCCGTTGAGCCTCGGCCCAGAGCTCATCCGGGTTCTGCGGGATGTATGGTCCAGCCGCGGGTGGTGCCTGGTCCGACAGCAGGGGGTTCGGTTCCATTTTGCTGAGTTCCGCTGCTGTAAACCCAGCCCTGCGGTGTGGGAGCGGCAGAGTACGGTGTCTGCGCTCGTAGATAGCGACAGCGACCCCAAGAAGCACGGTCGCTTGGCGATGTCGTGTTTTGGCAGCTTCAACAATGTCGTCGGGGAGGTTGTGCGTGCGTGCCGCCGCTGTGGCAAGGGCGTCGGCCTGACGGTTGAACTCCTCCGCGATGTGCCCGATGAGCCCAAGGTCGATGCCCAGGTCTCCCAGGTGGCTGGCGATTTTTTCGACGCGAAACATGTTGGGCTTGGCCATAACACATCGGTGGATCTTTTCCCAGAGCTCCGCGTGCGTGCCCTGCGGCGCTGGAAGTCCGTCGATGATGCTTTGGAACCCATCGACCACCGCCTGGTTGTCCACGAAAACGTGCACGGGCCGTTCGGCACATGCCGTAAGGTGGACAATGGCGAGGGTCTCCGCAACCTGGGCGTTCTGCGTTAAGCCGTGAACACGTGCACTGTAGTTCATGCGGTGATCGATGCCGTAGTAGACGCCGTAACCCGCTCGTGCTAGCAATGGGATGGCTTGGTTGGTGCACGCACCGTCCGTGGCAGCATAGACCCATGTCCAACCAGTGTCGTAGTCAAGGTATGTGGTGTAGGTGTCCTGGGCTGAAATGAGTGCGAGAGATGGAGAAGGAGAAGACTGAGTGGGGAAAATGGAAACGGGGGAAGTGACTCAGGCAAGTATCAATGCCAAGTAGCTAATGCCATGAAGCGTGGTAAAAGACTGTATGCAGAATATATTAAAAAATGGAAAAGAGACAGATTGACACGCCCCCAATTGCAGAGCAAGGTGGGAAAGCCGCAGGATCACCATCAGGGGGGGGCCGCGGAATGGGCTGTGGCAGCGGGTCCCTCGCGAGGTCGGCCTGCAGGTCGAGGAGGGCTGGGTCTTCGTCGAAGAGCCCGCAGTGTCTTGTGTGCGGCGGAAGACGGGCCCACTGGTCGTCACTGATGAGGGTGGAGAGAGGGAGTCTTTCTCGGGCCCAGCACTTACAGTCGCGGA